GTGGGCCCTGGCAGCCATTCGCTCCAAGGCTCCCAGCACAGGGACCCAGCAGCAGGGCACATGGCTTGTGCCTCCACTTTGCACTGCAGGGGGGCCCTGGCCAGTCCTTGGGGCTTGGCTTTGCAGCACTGGGAGATCCCCCCAGGGCCCTGGCCTGGAGCAGCCCAGCCAGCAGTGAGGGGGCCAGAGCAGGGTGACTCCCCTGGCCCTTGGAGCTGGAGTCTCCCCAGTTCCAGCTCACCCTCCCTCTCTCTCTGGCAGGGGGCCTGGTCCAGCCAGGCATCTATCCAGGAGGTATCTACCCTGGTGGCATCTACCCAGGGGCTGGGCTGGGAGCTGCCTACAAAGCTGCTGCCAAAGCCGGTTAGGCTGTTCCGTGGTGCCTGCATCCCCCACCCAGTGCCCGCTGCCCCGCCACACACCACGTGTAGCCATGTGCAAGCTGCCGCAGGCGAGACTGGGACGGGCATCGCCAGATGGCCTGGCGCTGAAATCAGACCAGGAGCTCAGGCCCCCCAAGGGGAAAAGCTGGGGCAACAGCACTGTGTGGTCTGGCCCAGCTGGGCTGCCCTGGGCTGCTGCCTTCTCTGGGGCAGGTCCTGGTGTCCAGCCAGGTCTGAGGCCACAAGCAAGAGGCTAGGGCTGGCCTGCGGCAGGGGTGAGAGTCAGGAGAGGGCTGTGCCCGGGGTCCATGAGCTGCCCGCAGTTAGAAGTCACTCACTGGGCACGCAGAGCCAGGCATGCGGCACCTGGCACTAGACAGGCCAGGATCCTGCTGCCCAGGCTCGCGGAATGTGGGGCAGCCCAGAGCAGAGGGCCCACGGAGGCTGAACTTCCCTGGTCCCCCTGGCGCGCATAGTTCAGGGCTGAGCCTGCAGCTCTAGCAGGCAGGAAGTACCCCATGCTCCGGTTCCCTGCTTCGAGTCCACTGTGCCCTGTGCCTGATGCTTCCTTTGGTAACCAGGTGCTGGCGTGGGCGGCATAGGCGGCGTGGGCGGACCCGCTGGTGTTGGGGTCTCAACAGGTAAGGCGTGTTGCACGTCTCTGACTGCAGCATGCCCTGCCCTGAGCAGGGCAGCACTCATGGCCCCTGGCTCCCTTGCAGGTGTGGTGGGGCCCCAGGCTGGGGTGCAGCCAGGAGTAGGCGCTGGAGGGAAACCGGGCAAGGTACCAGGTAGGTGGGAGTGAAGGGCTGGGAGGAGCGGGACCCTGTAGCTGGACACAGTCACTACCCTCTCCCTCTTGGCTGCAGGTGTCGGCCTTCCAGGGGGGTTCCCCCGTGGCGTGCTCACAGG